CTTGCTGTCCTTCCTTTGTGCTGTCCTTCTCTCAGCTAAAGCAGTCTCATTCCAGGGCCTCCCAACTCCTACCTCTTCTCCAAAGACTGCTCCCATCCCACTCAAACTGATAGAAACCCCAGTGTTTCTCCAGGGAAGAAGAGTAGAGTCAGATTTCTAACAGAGCAAGGTGAGAACAGGAGGCAACAGAAAGGGAACATTCCCCACATCCTCAGTGTATAAACAAAGAATCCTATCAAGATTTGTCACTTTTTGAAGAGGCAGCTCCGGATCAAAATCAATGACCAGGTTATTGGAGAACAGCAAACAACCTTGCAATGCTAAAAGAAGGACCACTGGAGCCCTTGGCTGAATCCCACACTGGAACAGGAGCACATGGATGAGCAGCTCGTGTGTAGAAAGGCTGACACTTGAGAAGCACTGATGTGTATACATCTGCAATGGACATGATGATGTTAATTCAGAGAATGCACTTTTTGGTATGACATCTCCTTTGTATGGGAATGGCCTGACCCTCACATAGTCATGGTGGAAGTTGAGAGCAAGGTTCCTTTCTCCTGCAAAATGGAGTGGTTTGCCACAGCCTGTACTCCCTGAGCCATGGGTTTCCTGTCAGAGAATCAATCACAAAGTCATTTCGGTTGGAGATGACCTCCAAGATTATCGGGTTCAACCATTCTCCAGCACTTCCAAGCCCACCACTAACTCATGTCCCCAAGTGCCACACAGCTTTTAAATCCTTCCAGGGATGGGGATCCACCGCAGACCTGGGCAGCTGTGCCAGGGCTTGACAAACCTTTCCATGATGAAATTTTCTCTAATATCCAATCTAAACCTCCCCTGGCACAGCTTGAGGCCATTTCCTCTTTTCCTGTCACTTGTTCCCTGGGAGCAAAGCCCAACCCTCATCTGGCTCTCCCCTTCTGTCAGGGAATTTCCGAGAGTGAGAAGGTCCCCCCTGAGCCTCCTTTTCTCCAGGCTGAGCTCCTCCAGCTCCTTCAGCCCTCCATGCTTCTGCCTGGTGTCTGCAGGTGGACTGAGCTGTATCACGCTCTGCCTCATGCAGGCTGGACCTAATCCAGAGTGAGAGCTCCTTGATCCTGGCAAGAGCCTCACACATGCTTTGGTGCCACCCCTCCAATGTCTGGGCTTAGGGATTTCCCTAACAGAGCCTTGAAGGCTTATGGATCTGGGATGGAGAACAGACGCAGACATGCTGAAACAACCATGACACACTTGCTGAGAGGGAGCACCAGGAGCTAACTGGAGAGCTTTCACAATGTGAGTCACTCGCCGAGCTCCATCTCATGGCATGTTAAGCAGTATGAATCAAAGACTGAAAATGCAGGGTATGTCTTGCCCTACAGAAACACCATCAAACCACTTTACTTTTTAAGTAATGTTTTGCTATTGATTATGTGCATGAAGATGAGGCAGCTCCCTCCTCCTCCTGCCAATTTCCACACTCAATCCCATTACAAGCAGGTGCCAGGATAGAGCCATCTCTAACAGAGCCTAGTTCCTGCTCTCAGGAGGGAACAAACTTGGCACACTGGAAACCTGTTAGGAAATGCCTGAGAGTACTTGAGTTGACTAAAGACCTCCATATGTACCAGTGGAACAAACATGGCAATAAAACAGGGATGCTCACATCTTCCTGAACCTATAAACCAAGTCCAACTGCCACCAGAGCTACCAGGTGTGCCTTGGAGAGCTAAGTAGGGAATGTGGTCTAGGAGCAGGGTGCTCTTGCAACATGGTACCCAGGTGCCGTGGTGCGTTCAGGGTCAGTGACCCTTCCTGCCACAGAAAAGTGAGTCAGGATCCCAGGATGACCACAGCACAGGCAGGGATGTAGTTCCACTTGGTCTGAAGAGGATTGGCAGGACCAGTTGCTGGTAAAAAGGAACTACCAAGTATCCCCACCAAGGTGGGGGGATGAAGTGGTTCCAGGATCCACTCGGAAGCAGCAAGAGCAGGACTGGAAACAAGGCTACAGTGTAGGTATGGTGCTGATACTAGACACAGGACTCAAGGTAGGACTACAACTGTCCTAAAGCACAGCTCAGCGAGGCACCCAGAGCTTAATTGGAGCCTCTGGACTAATGAGTGGAGAGCGCATGGGTGGAGGTGAGGCTGGTCAGGGAAATTAAAACCAATCAGTGTACTCAGGACCCTGAGACAACTAAATGCAAAGTGGAGCAGGAAAAGTTATATTCTTGTTTTACCAATTTCCAATCTCAAGCCAAGGTCTTCCTTGGCTTTATCCCGTCTCATGTTTGCCTGTGGCTGGGCAGAGGGAGAAAATGACCACAAGCAGATCCAAAGCATCACTTTGTGCCTCGTGACACCCTTGTCCAAAGCTCCCATCCCTCACAGCCTCTTGCCTGCTGTGCTGGTGAGTGTTTACCAGATGAAGGCACCAGAGAATCCTTAACACCCTTCAGTCTTGTGTCACTCACTCTCTAAGAGGTGCTTCTGGCTGCAGTGGGTTTGGGTGCTTGTATCCGTCTCGATGGGTTTTTGAAGGCAGGAGTTGTAGAGGGAAGATCAGGAGGTAGCATCACGTTGTTCCTGTCAGTGTGTTTTACACAAGCTTGTTGTTTTAAAAATAATCAGGTGCTGACTCTGGATCTAGAGAACAAGATAAAGCTTAGAGGTGTTTCATAGTGGGCAGAGAGGGGGCAGAAAATCCCCTCTGTCCCCTATGGAGAACTTTCGTAGCTGGATGGCATCCTTCCTCTGGATGAAAAAGATCCCAAATCCTGCCTCTGATTTTTGTTAGGAACACACAGTCCTCCATCAGCAAACTCACAGTAGCTGCTCCTACCCTTCCTAATTTAAACCTTCCCCTTAAATCTAAAAATATGCTGCTAGTGAAGGATTTTAATGAAAATCCGAGATTTTTGACCAATTAAGGCACTCAGAGTCAGATCCCAGGCTGGGTCAGCTGCTAGCAATGGTTTCCTGGGTATTAGATGAGAGATCCCAGGTGAGATCACTGTGCCAGGCCCTTCCACCCGAAGCAAACGGATTGCTAAACAACAAACCCTAAAGGAACATCTTGAAGTGGTGTTTCATTGAAAACATTTGATGAAAATCCTAGGAAACAGAGTGCAAATGTGCTGGGGAAGTTCTAAATGCACACAGGAAGGCTCTCCCTGAATAGCTGATACTGAGGGTGAAGCCTCAACTGCTCAGAATTGAAGCTGACAATGTTCTTCCATGACTCAGCATCGTGCTGACTGCACTCGGGGACCCAGTGGGAAAGCACGAAAGCCTGATGACAGGGTAGGAAACCAGATGAAATAAAAACAAATTGTGATTGTTGGCTTGGTCTGACTTTAAAAAAAAAAAAAAAGAAATCTCAAATGCCCCAAACATCCTGACAAAAACAAAACAAACCAAACCAACAAAAAACCCGATGTCCTTTGGGTGATTAAACCTATAAAGGAGACTTCTTGCTACTTCTTGCTATCCAAATTTCATGAAGTGAGCTGAATTTAGGTGCGTTCTTTGCCTATTTTCTCCGCAAATCGTATTTTTTTCCCTCAGAGCCCAACCCTTAAGAGGCTGAGCAAGGATACGGGATCATCTGCAGGTTTTGTCAGACTGGCTTCAGGGATGATATTGGTGTAACAATACACAGGGCAGGTGGCATCCGAAGCCTGTGATCCACGTGAATACAGAAACCAATCCTCTCAGGAAGCTGTTTATCTCACTGCAGAACGCAGGCAGAGAGAGAAAATTAGGGAGAGGGTGCAGAGAGGATCCAGAGCTGTTGGATCCCTGTAGGACCACAGCAGTCCCATCAGTCATGTCCCACCCCACCATGCCCCTGCCTGTGAGGGGGATCTGGGGGTCTCGCAGTGCAGTAGCACTGCACTCTATATTTTGGGTTTTTTGTCCCCACCTAAGGGTTTATTTGTCTGGAATTATCAAACAGGCCAGGACACAAGAAGTGGGCCCATGGGAACCTCTGAGGTTTAACAAAACCAAGTTCTGGTACTGCTCCTGGGCCAGGGCAGCCCCTGGATCAATCCAGGCCGGGGATGAACAGATGGAGCAGCCGTGTGGAGAAGGTCCTGGGGGCTGGTGGGGGAGAGGCTGGACATGAACCAGCCCAGAAACCCCCATGCCCTGGGCTGATTCCACAGCGTGGGCAGCAGGGGAGGGGGGGATTCTGCCCCTCTGCCCCCTTGGGTGAGACCCCCCTGCAGAGCTGCCTCCAGCCCTGGGGAACAACAGCACAGGGACGTGGAGCTGCTGGAGAGAGTCCAGAGGAGGCCATGGAGATGCTCCAAGGGCTGGAGCCCCTCTGCTCTGGAGCCAGGCTGGGAGAGCTGGAGAAGAGAAGGATCCAGGGAGACCTGAGAGCCCCTTCCAGGGCCTAAAGGGGCTCCAGGAGAGCTGGAGAGGGACTTGGGACAAGGGATGGAGTGACAAGGGGCAATGGCTTCCCAGTGCCAGAGGGCAGGGTTAGATGGGATATTGGGAAGAAATTGTTGGTTGTGAGGGTGGTGAGGCCCTGGCCCAGGTTGTCCCAGAGAAGCTGTGGCTGCCCCATCCCTGGAAGTGTCCAAATCCAGGTTGGACGGGGCTGGGAGCAACCTGGGGTATAGTGGAAGGTGTCCCTGCCCATGGCAGGGGTGGGAAGGAGATGATCTTCAAGGTCCCTTCCAACCCAAACCATTCTGCGGTTCTCTGACACGACACAACACCCGCCCTCCTTCCCGACGCCCGCACCCCTGAGGGCAGCGGGGGGCACTGAGACCCCGGGGCGGCGCCGCCGCCGCGCTCCCCTCAGGCGGTCCCGCCCCCGCCGCGCTTCCATTGGCCGATCCCCCTCTCCCGCGCGCTCCCATTGGTCTCGCCGCCCGCCCGTCCGCCGCGGTTTGTTTGGTCGCGTGGACCTGTCAAACCCGGCGGGGGGGGGGGGGGGCGGCGGGGGGCGGAGGGGGAAAGGCGGAGGGAGACTGTCCCCCCCCCGCGGTCCCACGTGGCAGCGCCCGGCGCCCCGACGGGGCGGGCGGGACCCCCCTCCCCCCGGAGCCCCCCGGTCCGTGTCACCCCCGGCGGGGGAGGGAGCGGGGCCAGCGACATCCGGGCCCTTGGCTGGCACCGCCGCCGAGCCGCCGGCACGGCAGCCGCGGGTCAGCGCGGCCGGACGGGGCGGGTGGTGCCTCCGTGCCCCTCGTCGTGCCGTGCCCGCCGCCAGCCCCCCCGAGGTGCGCGGAGCTGCCCCGCCCCATCCCGTCCTGTCCCGTCCCGTCCCGTCCCACGGCAGGGGCGATGCTACCCTCGCTGAGCCGCCCGCGACTCCCTCGCTGCTGATTCGCTTTAGACGGTGAGTTCTGGGTTTATTTTTGGGTTTTTTTCTCTTTATTTAGTATTTTAAGAAATGCTCAGTTTTCCTCCCGCTCGGCCCTACCGGGATTCCCGGGTGGGAGAGGGGCGCGGGGTCCCCCGCCTACTGCCTTCGCCGACGGGGGTGGACCAAGGGGGTGTCCCCCCCACTCCGTCCCCTCCCGTCCCTCCCTCCTTCCTCCCGGTGCCCGCGGGCTGTGCCCGGTTCTCCCGGTGGTCCCCGAGCTGCGGCAGCATCGCGCAGAGGCAGCACCGCTGTCACCGGCGCTCCCGGCTTTCAGGTCGGATATTCCCCTCTTTCTGCGTGCCGATTAACCATAATAATTACTATTTTAAATTGATTTATTATTATTAGTTTTTGTTATTTTGTGGTGATTCGTTGCTATTAGTAATTTTTATCGTATTCCCTTGGATTGTGGCAAAACTTTTGCCCGAGTTCCCGCTGCCCGCGGTCGCTCGCGGTGCCGCCGATGCGACCCCGCGGAGCGCTCACTGCCGTGCGGGATCCACTTACGGGATCGATCGGCTTTTATTTTTAGTGAGGGGTGGGATGCGCGGTGTGATCCCGTCCCGTCCCGTCCCGTCCCGTCCCATCCCATCCCATCCCATCCCTCCTCCTCTGCACCGCTCAGCGGGGCAGCGACCCGACGGCTCGGGGTCCTCCCAGTGCTGGAGAGCCCTCTGTGGTGGGTTTTTATCCCGGTTTTTATCTGGCCGCTGCCCGAGCCCGTGCGAACTCGGAGGCGGTTGTGGCTCCTGCCCAGGGTTAGGGTGGCACCTCGGGCGAGGCGTTGTCCCCGCTGGTGCTGAAGGAGCTGCACGCTGTGTCACCGTGTCCCTTAGGTTTGCCTGGCGTAGGATCATCCCGCGGATAACCCCTCATCCCGGCGGCGGCTGCGAGCCTGGGCGATGCGGTACGTGTCCTGCTGCGGGGGGAGCGGGGCTGCTTGGGCGAGGGGGGTGTGGGGGGCACGGTGCTCAGGGACTTGTGGGCTTGGTGGAAGCATCCCTGGGACGGGCTCAGCCCGGGTGTGGGGAGTATGAGGCGAGTATCTCTGGGACGGGCTCAGCCCGGGTGTGGGAACTGTGGGGGGAGCATCCCTGGGATGGTATTAACTCCAGCGTGGGGAGCGTTGAGGGGAGCATCCCTGCGATGTGCTCATCCCGGGTGCAGGGGTTGTGGGGCAAGCATCCCTGGGATGGGCACAGCTTCGGGGGGAGAGGATGTCTGGGATGTGCTCATCCTGGGTGTGGGGAGTGTGGGGTGACCATCCCTGGGATGTGCCTAGTGTGGTGCCTGCATCCCTGGGATGTGCTCAGCGCTGGGGTGTGGGGAGCATGAGGCAAGCAACCTTGGGATGTGCTCAGCCAGGGGAGAGCATCCCCGAGATGTGCTCACCCCGGGTGTGGGGAGTGTGGGGTGATCAATCCTGGGACGTGCCAGCAAACATCCCTGGGATGTGCCCGGTGTGGGGTGAGCATCCCTGGATGTGCTCATCCCGGCTATGGGGAGCGTGGGGCGAGCAGCCCAGCTGGTGTGGGCGCTTCGCCACCTCCCTCCCCGTGGCAGCAGCCTTGGCATCCCCAAATTTCCCCGCTGTCCCCTGGCCACACGCTCTGTGTGGCAGGAGGGGGAGCTCGCACCGTGCCGGCTGAATAGGACGAGGATCTGTGCAGGACAGGGGTCCCTCTGCCCTGAGCAAGGGGAACCCCCCTCCTCTGAACCCCCCTCTTCCACCAGCCCTTCCCGCAGCTCCGGCGCTGAATTTCCTCCGAGCTCTCCTGCCCATATTGCTCTATTGATTGCTGAGCTGAACTTCCTCCCGAAATCATTAAAGCTTAAAAAATTGATGGCACAATAGAGCCCTTTATTAGCCACATAACTTTTCTTGCTTTCTTCCTTTCTTCTTAGATTTTTTTTTTTTTTTAAATCAACACAAAAGGGCAGAGCCTGAGCTCGGATTTGTGTCCCTTGTCCCTGTGAGAGCTGGGCAGCATGCCCTCCTCCACCCCAGCTGCCCAACAGCACAGCCACGCCGGGCTGTTTATTAGGAGAAATGGCAAAGATGGAATCGATGTGTGCAGGTGTTTTTTTTTTTTTTTTTCCTTTTCTTTTAATCCCAGCCCCCTCTCTTTGCAGCCTGAAGATAGGTCTATTTATTCCTGCTCTGGTAAATAAAAACATTTGAATGGGGACTGTAATATTTTATTCCCTGTCGTGCCTACCCTTCAGTCTAATGATGGCTGAGTTCTTGCTCGGTATTAACTTACCATTTTAGTAACAGTTGAGTTTTCCTAAAGAAATCCCTCTGGGCTGACCATTACTGTGTCATTGTATAACACAGCAGAAAGATGGATTACCTGGATGGATCTCCTCCAGCGTGACTTCACCAAGTGACAGGCTTCAGCTAATTTATCCCCACTCCCCTTGCAATTGTTGGGATGGGGTTTATAGCTTCTAGGAAATATCTGCAGTATCTCAGAGCATGCAATTGTAAATACAGGCACTGATTCGCCAGGTGGGACTGTTGGCAGCATCCTTCTCCATGGGAAGCCCCAGCTCCTGGAGTCAAGTTAACCCCTATGAGTTCTTCTTTAGTGGGGAAATAGGAAGTTTTAACTTCTTCTGGTTTTTAAGAGAGGTTCTGAGTGTATCTGTGTGGAGAAGAAAGAAAGAAGCCAGAAAAAAAAAAAGTATATTTATGCGTGTGAGTGTGTATGGGTGTAAAAAAATAAATCACATGATTTCGAAGCCAATATAACATTTTGTTGAAGGATCCCTTAGCAATCCTGTGCTGGAGCAGGGATTGAAAGTCACGTAGAGGGGACACTGCCTCACTGTGTGGCCTTGGGCCAGTCATTTATCTTCTCTGCTGCAGTGTCAGTGTCTTAGGAGCGTGGCTGCCCCATTTTCTGCTACCCTGTCTCAACGCTGCACACTCTCCCTGTCCTCCTCACCACAGTTTTCATGTGGCACTCTGTTGCTTTTAAGGTGCTGCTTCAGGGTGGACACCCTTAAGTGCAAAACACGCCTCCCCAGAATGCTTCCCGCCCAGGACAGGAGCAAGAGGTGCATCCCTCTGTGCTCCCTGTTTTTCAGAAGAGCATCAGCTTGGTTCTGGGTATAGCTGTCCACCTCGTGTGCCCCCAGTTTGTCATCCCTGCAGAATATTGCATGCTGCTGCCGAAAATGATGAAGCTGTAGCACAAGAATGGCTCAGAGGGGTTTGTGTTTGCAGATGACACTGAGCTGAGTGCAGTTGACGTGCCTGAGGGGTCGGATGCCATCCAGAGGGACCTGGACAAGCTCGGAAAGTGGGCCCAAGTTCAGCGAGGCCAAGTGTAAGGTCCTGCACATGGGTTGGGGCAGCCCCTGGGACCAATCCTGGTGGATCCTGTCCAACCCCCCTGCCATGGGCAGGGACACCTTCCACTATCCCAGGTTGCTCCAAGCCCCGTCACACCTGGCCTTGGACATTTCCAGGGATCCAGGGGCAGCCACAGCTTCTCTGGGCAACCTGTGCCAGGGCCTCAATACCTTCACAGACAGCAACTCCTTCCCAATATCCCATCTAACCCTGTCCTGTGACAGTGGGAAGCCATTTCCCCTGTCCTGTCCCTCCAAGCCTGTGTCCCAAGTCCCTCTCCAGCTCTCCTGGAGCCCCTTTAGGCACTGGAAGGGGCTCTCAGGTCTCCCTGGATCCTTCTCTTCTCCAGGTGAACCCCCCCAGCTCCAACCCTTGGAGCATCTCTGTGGCCTCCTCTGGACTTGCTCCACGTCCTTCTTGTGTTGGAGACCCAAGAACTTGACACAGGACTCCAGGAGAGGTCTCACCAGAGTGGAGCAGAGGGGCAATTATGCCTTATTGAAAAGGTCTGAGTGCACCTGGACCAGGGCTTTGCAGTTACCAGAATCAGGTGCCTGAAGACATGTTTAGGCAGCTAAATCTAAGTGAAACCCTCCTTCTTCCTGGCTTGCCCAGGGTATCCCTGCAATCCCATGCCCTGTCCCACTGCAGCTGCACACTCTCCTCAGCAGTGAGGACTCTCTGTTCTCTTCTCTTGCCACGCTTCAGAAGCTTATACAATTTTTTTGGCGCTTTTCCCCCAAGTCATTATTCTGGGTTACATGGTTTGTTTGTTTATGCTTTTTGGTTTTAATCATACTTTTTTTTTTTTTTAATTTATTTATTGTGTCTGAAAAGCTCCAGGGCTTCCTTTCCACTCCCCACTCCCAGATGGTTGCCTGTAAAAAAAAAAAAAGGAAATATTAGAATAAAAAAGGAAATAGTTTGGTTCCGTAATGAATGAAGTTTGGCTTTTCTAGAGAGGATGTGGGAGAGAAAAAGAGGGGGGGAAAAAGAAGTCTCAGGTGTGTTTGGAGGGAAGGGTGTGCCCTGCCATGTATTTTAAGCTCTACTGGGTCTGTGCCACTCGTTTTACAGCAACCCTATGAAAAGGGATCCGGGTCGTGCTTTGCCTTTAATCTCACCATGACCAGCTCAAAGAAAAAGACACTCCCTCTTCTCATGAATCCGTTTCATTTATTTAATGAGATCTCAGTTCTCCATTCTCGTCACTGGGAGGAGATGCCTTGGCTTATTTACCTTATTTAGCTAAGCTGGTTGGTCTGAAAGGGTTTTCATGGGGTTTTTTTTGGAAGGAGGAAGGAGCAGGCAGGTGGGGAGCAGTGGGGCTTGTCAGGCTGCTGGTTTCCCTCTCCAGGGGTTCTCCAGTAGCAGAGGGAGTTGCTCCAAAAGCAGAGCTCAGAGGAAAGACTTCAAAGGTTGGGATGACACTGTCTGTCCAGGTGGCAAGGACGAGGCAAGGACAACCTGCTGCTGTTGCAGGTTGGGGTACAATTCCCAGGGAGCAGGACGAGGATATTGTCAGACCTTCATGGCTTGGAGGTACAGCCCATCCTGGTGACACTTCATCAGCTGTCACCCATGGCCATGGTGGTTGTCCACACACATGGTCCTTCGTGCAGTGGGATGAACATCTGGCACAGGTGGAGGAGGTGACACAGTGCCTGGCCACAGCTGTGGAGTTACTCCACATTCCCAGAGGGGCTGGTGGGCCACGTCCACCTGCCTCTGGACATCGTGCTGTCTTCACCAAGGAGGGTGTAGGTCCACGCCTTGCCAGAAACGGAGCTGGGATGTTGCAATCTAGCCACTGCTTCTGCATTGCACAGCAGCAGCAGGGCTGGCATGCTGCCTTGGGGAACTTATGGAGCAGAGGAGAGATATGGGATGACATCTCATCCTGCTGGTCTAGCACTGGAGCATGTGCTTTTTGCTCCTGCAGGGAAGCAGGTCTCCAGGGCAGGTAGAGAGGCTGTCACAGCCAGGACAAGAGGAAACGGCCTCAAGTTGCATGAGGAGAGGTTTAGGCTGGATATTAGTGAAAATTTCTTCGCAGAAAAGGTTAATGTTAGCACAGGCTGCCCAGGGCAGTGGTGCAGTCCCAATGCCTGGAGCGATTTAAAAGCTGTGTGGATGTGGCACTTGGGGAGATGCGTTAGTGGTGGCCTTGGAAGTGCTGGTTGCGATGATCTTGGAGGGCTTTTCCAGCCTAAACTCTTCTGTAGGTCTGTGATCTGGGACTCGCTTTGCAGAGGCCTGACCTGTTGACCTTTAGCTGCTCTTGTCATAGTACAGGTCATCTTGATATGAAAGGTCTGCCTGAGACCCCTTATTCTGCCTTAAGGTGGGGCTTCTGTGGCTCTCTTCTGATTTGTCACTTAGTTGGGTGCTCTGTCGATCAGAGCTCTCTTTCTATGTGTTTTGCTGGGGTTTTCCATGGGATTTGGGGACATCATCTGGCTCTACGTCCCTTCCCCACCAACACCAGCCATCGTGCTTCCTGTGTGGTCTGGAGACCTGGTGCTGTCTCTTGCTGCTCCTGTCAG